TAGTGCAACCCCCCTGCCAAAGCAGGGTCACCTACAGCAGGCTGCACAGGACCTTGTCCAGGCGGGGCTTGAATATCTCCAGAGAAGAAGAATCCACAACCTCTCTGGGCAACCTATTCCAGTGCTCCATCACCCTCTGAGTGAACAAGTTCTTCCTCAGAATTTTACTGGAGAGACAAGTAAGTATGTAAAAGATGCAATCAGCTTGCACCACTGCTGTTTTTTCTTATATGCCTTTTAGCTATGTTGCTCAGCACTGTGTTTGTGGAGGTTTATACACTCTGACAAATTCTGGTTGCTACCTTAAGAGCATCTATTCCTCATGGAAACTCATTTCACATCTCATCAGTTACAGCAATGAGATGGGGAAACCGATTTCTTGTTTCTCTTGAGGTACATGCACGCTGGGCGGATTGCACAGTCACAGCCTGAGCTGAACTGAGTGCTGGCCTGAGTTCCCCCTCACCTCCTCCGGGCTGGGTGATCTCCAGGTTTAGAGCCCCGCTCTCTTTAAAGAGCAGCTCCAGGCATTTCCAAAGAAATGCACTACAATGGAAAACACGCTTTCATTTCAGCTCCCCTTTAGCAAGTTAGCAGTAGATGTGAGCATTTGATGAAGGTGTGCTGCAGCCATTTCCATGTATCGCTTCGTCTTTCCCTTGCACGGAGCCCTGCGACATAACTGAGTATCACTTACGGTAGACTGTGCCTGAGAGATGTTTTGAGACACTGTCAGCACTTGGTCTGTTTGGTTTGCAGGGTTCGTGACACTATGTGGTAAGTCATGAGTATTTGTCCATGAGCGCTGGCTTCATGCAAACCCAGAAGCTGTGGAAAACCACAGAGCATCACCAGACTCCTGCAAAAAACCCCACCATAAAACTATGTGTTTACTCAGGTTATGAACCCGTTTACTTCTGGAAACTGCCAAGTATTTTGGTAAAGTTATGGCAAAGTTCCAGGTTACAAAAAAGACCTGAGATCTCATTGTTAGCATTTCCCAGGGCAATAAAGAAAAAGATACCCCTTACTGTGGCATCCTTATTTTCTTATTTTCCCGTCTGTTGCATTACTTCTTAAAATTGGACATGATGGGAAAGAGCTGTACGGTCTGTTCAGGGAACTGGAGCAGCATTCACAGCTTGGGGAAATTAAAGGCTGCACGTGATAGCTATTAGTCCTGCGATACTCAGAGGGAGCGCTCAGTGATGAGTACGGTATGAGGCTTTGAATAGGAACTAAGGGTGAACTAAAAAACATTAAGAGCATAAGGAGAAGATAACCTTGAAATCTCTCTGGAGTAGAAGCCTCTGTCTCGACAAACACTCTGGGCATTAGTGTCCCCACAGCTGCCGGCACGCAGCTACTCCAGCACTGCAAGGCACTGGCTACAAAGCCAAAAAGGAGCCTATTGCTTCTGGAAAATTCGCCTGCCTTTCTTTCTCACCCAGAAATACTCGGCAGCTCAGAAATGCCAGACAACTTTTAAGTCATTTCCAGTCACATTTTTACTGTTGAGGACAGGCATATCCATATGCAGGACAAATAGCTCCGGTGGGTCCAGGAGCTCAGCAGATGAAGCTCCAGAACAGCGGGTTAGGCAAAATCAGCCTGGCAAGAGAAGCGGTCTGGGATCTGCAGGATTTGGTTTCAGCTGCTACAAACACCTTCTTTGTTCCACTACCTTCTACGTCCTTCTGGTGGCTTTGCAGGTAAATCAAAGTAATCGAGACTTGTGTTTGAGTCTGACCTACATTCTCCTGCAGCAGAAGGCAGAGATTTTTAATCAAATTAACTGCACCAGGGATTTCATAAAGTGTGAAGCTCTGTCCTTCGTTATGCAACTAAAAGCTTTTTGGTTAAGGTTAGTGGGCTTCAAAAAGAACAAACCAGCTCCATGGCTCTAAAACTGGCATGCTGAGAGGACCCTCCTCTGTGCCTCTATTGCCAGGCATTTAAATAAAAAGAGAGTTAAGTGTCGAAGGAGAACAAAGAAGAAAAATGATTAGCTGTGCGTGGCTAATAATAACAATAAAGTGGAAAATATTTTGGACTAAAATTAATGGACACATCTTTAGTATGTCATACGCGAATTTATCTGCATGACTTCCACTCATGTTAATGGGAGCCACTTGGCTAAATTTCTGCTCAGTGAGCTGTTAATTCATCCCTAAGGGATTAAGTTTAAATTTAAACTTACAAAAGCCATTTAATGTTAAACCTGAAACACTGTCTTGGATTCACACAGTTTTCAGAGAACAAAGGAGTAGTGAAATAGATTAGCAATTATGTATTAGTGTGAATATTGAATTTCCTGAATTTAGTGATTAATTTGGGGCAGTCATAAGTTGTGACATCCTGGTTCTGACCAGTATTTGGCTAGTGTGATATTCTGGCACCCCAGCATCAGATGCTCCCAAACATCTGACAAAAAATTAGTTCTTGATAACACGTTTATAGTCAGCACCTTTTTTCTAGCTACTGTCAAATCTTTCACTGTGTCCTCTCTTATTCCCAGTGTTTTCTAAATGAAATTATCCAAAACTTTTGAGCCACTTTCCTTACACAAATGTTTTTGATGTGTATCTTCTCCTCTGTTTGTCTTGATGTTTGTTTTCTACTTCTATATATCTTTTCTACTCCTGTCTGTACCCTTCTAAGCACCAATGGTCAAAACCCATTATAAGTACCCCACCAGTTTCTCCAGGCCATAGTATCTGCTGTGTTATTACCTCTTCACCTCTATTCCTGCATAAGACTGTCACTTGTTTTTTTCCTACCATCACTGCACTAAGTAACTTTTCCTGAAGTTCTTCATGAAGATTCACTACTTGACCTTTAGTCCAACTTCCACCCCTTGTTTCTGCCTCCTCCCCTCACACACCCAGTGTTATATGAGTAAATACTTGAGACGACTCATCCTAATGCTTGCTGCTTTTCTGAACTGCATTTCTTAGTAGTTACGTAGGCCTTCTGAAATCCCTTGCAACCTCCTCTGCTGTTAAAGTATGTTATCTCCTATGCTCGCTCTCATTTTTGCCACCTCTCTGTTCACCTCCTTCCAGATTGATCATACATGAAATAACACTTAATCCACGTGCTGGGGGGCACCCACAGATAGCCACTCCCAATGTAGAAAATTCCTCATCTTTTCCAACCCTTTGCTCTTTATCTCTTAACCAGTTTCTAATCCACGTTTAATCTTATCTGGTCAACTATTCGCTCTCTGAAGGAGGTGCCAGGTCTTTTAGCATTCTCATAAAATGTTGTGGTGCTGTATAAATATTTATTCATACATAAGGCATCCCAAGTTCATTTTATCAGCTCATAGTCATCTAGGTGTTTTATACGTAGTAATTTTTTTTCCAATTAACTTTTCTACCACTGCGATAAGGCTTTCCGCTCTGTAATTACTAGGGTCACCCCCTGCATCTTGTTTAAAATTAGATAAAATATTAACTATTCTCTAGTCCTAGCTGATGTGGAATATACTGTATTCTGCAGTTAATCACGAGAAAAAAATCTCTTAGCTTGGAAAAGAGTAGCCACACCGCTCACAGCGAGGTAAAGGGCTGACCTTCAACAGCCTTCTACTGTCACAGCCCTAAGGTATCCCAAGTTAATGCCTTTATGGCATGAGCTCATATCACATTCAGATTTAAAGTCCATAAAGCTCACTTTCACTTGAGACTTAAGTGGTAAATCAGGCTCTTTGAAGAGATATGTGTCAGAAATTAAGTCAGCATGGCCTGTAGCTACCTACTCTCAGACAACTGAAAGGATAATACCAAGTAACCTTCCTAGATATGTTGACTTTAGCAAACATTGTTCATGGCTGGTTCTGAAAATACTGGTTTAGAGGCAAGAATATAGAATGTTCTTTCCTTGATTTTTTTTCCTCTCTAAATGTGTTCTGAATAGATTAAAAATAAATATAATGAACTTTGTTCTTATGCAAAATTTTGCCTTCCTAAAAAATTGCTGAGTGGGAAAAAAGCTAAGGCCAAAAGATTCAGCTGCTTCCAACACATAATAAATCTGGAAGGGAAGAGAGTTTACAAGTGACTTAACTGTCATTTCCAAGCATGGTCATAAGTTTAAAAGATATAGCACAGAACAAGGGGAAGTGAAAATATCTGAAGGAACACACGTCTCTGCATTACTAAAAAGAATGTTTCTACTGGTGTACACATTCATGTTGTATCAGCCCTTCACTGGGAGAAATCAGTCCAAGGTAAGTCTCATTCTTGCAACAAAGCTCCCTAGGATGCTGTGGTACCATCCCCACAGAGAGGTGGCAAAAGTTCTCTTGAACTTCTAAATTAACTTACCCGTAAATACCTATTAACGCTCCTTTCTAACACATATATAACCTCCTTCCAGTCTGCTCATTCACTACTTCCAAATGCAAATCACTGGGCGATGTGGCACTTTAGACATTAATATTAAACTTATATAAAATGAGACCTTCCTGAAGCCTGACTATCTGGGTGTGTGTCTCTCTGTGGCTTACTGAGGTCGAAGGTATGAACGCTGCTCCACGAAGTACCAAGCTGGTATCTAGCAAGGACAGTAAGAGCAATGCCATTATCTAAGTCTAGGCTCCACTCTAAGGCTACTTGAACCTGTCTGGAAGCCTAAGCAGATCCTTCACCTCAGGAAGAGTGGTGACCACAGGGGCATTCACTTCAACACTCTAGTGTCTCTCAAATGATAGCATCTTTGCCTATGACACTTCACTGCCGTCAGTGATTTCTGCCCATTGATTTTTCTACTGCAGATCAAACATAATAATCCATATAACCATGATAATACGTGATAATGATAATATAACATGCTATAGCATAATGGTAATGATAATATAACATGATACAGTATGACAAATATAACACAACGATCAATATAAGCAGCACACGTGGCTCAGAGAAAAGCCTTCAGAATCCATGTAAGCAATAAATATGCAAAAGCAGTATCAAAGAAAAGAAAAAGAGTGAAAATACCTCGTGATACTTTTTCACTGTTTTCCCTGACATGCACGTGCAGGATTTCCAATTTGAAGTCCCGCAGCCACAGTTTCCTCCACAGCGCTGGACAAGGAGGCAGCGGGGGAAGAAAACTACATTTGTCAGCTTCAGTTCCTCCCTTAAATTGACAGAGTAGTTTCTCGGAGTGCAGCTGTAACGTTTCACATCGTCATTCAACCTGTCCAGGTCAACTGCAATGCAAAAGAAGTTTCTTTAGTAAGGTCTGAGTGGGACATTCCTCTGGTTTGTACTGCTCCCCGGGCAGTCAGTAATGCAAAGTGATGTGACACTGGTTGGAAAATATGTGAAGTATAGCAGTGATTTCTGAACAGATAAACATAAACCCACCAATTTTAAATAATTACAGGTGGTCGTTCAGGCTCTCATCCTGCTCCCACTTACTCCCACAGCAGAGCTCACACTGGCTGTAAAGGTGAAGGGAAGGCTTGCAGTAAAATATTAGCCTGAAAGCTGAAGACTGGTTATTTTATTTGCTTTATCACTGACCTGTTGGATCCTTGGGCAAGAGATTCCACTTCTGCTACTCTCTTCTCTCCTCTGTTTATACCTGGCTTACTTAGGTGATGAGCTCTTTTTTTGTCATTGCATAACTCCTTTTGTCTAACTGCAGGCATACAAAAGGCAAACACTTGAAAATAGGGTTTTCCTGTGGTCAGTAGAGAAACATCTTTGGAGAGTGATTCATCCCTTCTTCACAAGGGCATTTAGGACAGGCGACATGACTTACTTTCTCAAGTTGCCTGTCTGTATTGTTTATGGATAGAGTCTAGATAACTCTCTTTTAGATGAAGAAATCAATCTAAGCAATATTAATTTCAGCTGCTAAATGCTACTATAATAGGCATACAAATAAACACAATTAAAACTAATGAGCTTCACTGAATGGCAGTAGTTGGTTATGTTTGTTGGCTGGTCTCTCTGTGAGATGTGTCATGTAAACAAGTAGTAAAGCCAACCATAAAAATAACTTATAGACTATCAACTGTGAGTTTAAGTGCTGTTTCTAGCTTTAGCTTGTAAATCTAAAACAAAACAAAAAAAAACCCCATCCATAAATACATTTTCCACAATTGCAACACAGATAAAAGTAACAAATTTAATGAGTTATATTTCTATAGAAGTTTTCTGATTTCTTTTTCCCTCCTTTTCTGCTATCTTCTTTTCCTTAGGATTCTGTCCACCAACTAAATGTTCAAAAGCTCAATAATTCCTTCTGGACTGGAGGACACGTGAACTTGTGTTGAGTTCCCACCCCAGACAGAATTTGCTAATAGAATCATCAACAGGCAAATAGGAATGGCTTAAATGAGAACTGAGATAATGGTGTAGTGTTTGTGAACATATCAGATTTTCATGGGCATGTTTAATCGCTCAACACCATGTCTGGTCCTGAGTGCACCTATGCTTGTGCTTTACTACCAACATGTGACTCAGTCCTTGTCAATATCACAGAGTAAATTGTGGAAAAAGCTGTGATTTGTAAATGCCGTGCACCTTTACATTCTGACCTGGAGATATTCACAAGGCAGATAAACAAGAGCCAAGGGTACTTAAATGTCATGAGTGCTATTACAGAAAATCATAGCAGCTTCACTTTTCTGGCAAGGTGTTATCTCAGTCAACGGGAATTTAGCAGATAAATTGCAATTTTATAGCAATTGTGATACATCTCACCATGAAATCTCAGTGGTTCTCTCCAGAGAGCTAGCATCTGTCCAAAAAAGGTATAGATCATCCTCCTGATATAACCACAAAATCAATGGGGCTGCTGGTATACTCGTGCACTGGGACAAAAATACACCCCATATGTCCACAGCCAGGACTTAGAAGTCCAGAGAATATTGATTTCTTCATTTTAACAGACAGTATTTTCTTCTCCATTGTAATTCTCCAACACCACCACTTCTTGTTGCAGGATCTCAGGCTAATTCTTCTCACAGGGAAGTGTTTCCCACTCCCAAACGTTCTCATCAGGACCTTTGCCATCAGCTTTGCTTACCGATAAAGCAAAGAGGTATCCAGCTACTATTCAATTAATCCGACAGACATCAAGCAAAAATTAACCAAAGGAAGAAGAGGGCAGAAAATATTCTGCCTTCATGATTAATGACATTTCTTGAGGGGAAAGCCTGTATCCTCCACACTCTGGCACTGCAGCAATCCAGGGGAATGGACAGTGACACGAGCAGGCTCCTTTTGGGACAGGCTGGCCGTGGACTAGGATGGCATTTGCTGATGGTGCATGTCTGGATAGAGTTAGAATAAATTGCTCAAAGGCTTAACTCAGCCTGTGACTGCAATGCCTCCTGCTGAGGTAACACAAAGAAACAAGGCTTCCAGCAACAAACTGGTCATTAAACAGGGCCCAGACCCAGGTCACATGAACTGACATCTGTGTCCAGGAGAAGATGTCCGGGCGACCGAACAAAATTTGCTCTTTCACAGATGAAATTTCCTTTCAGGATCAACAGTCCTCCCTCCAGCATTGAGCTGATCCCTATTATCACTGCTGTGTTATCAACACAGAAACGACCCTGTAACGAGACTGGCAGAGAGGGAAAGCACCGGCATTTAAAGGACCAGGGTGGGGGGGCCTTCCTGCAGAGAGCATATTATATCCATCACCACGCTACACATATTAGCTGCATTACTTAAGCTGCTCAATTTAAATGGCAAGGGGTGACCTGGCAAAGGGCTTTCACTGGAGGGAAGGCTTTGCTCACTAACCTTCAAAAGCCTAGTTTTGATGACTTTCAGAAGTCTTTGCAGGGTCTTTTAGGCTGTAGTTGAATCAGTACTGTGGAGAGCTGTTGAATTGCTCGAAGTATAAGAGGGAACAACCACATAATTAGGATAATTTTTTTTTTCTATGCAGTATGAAGGAATCAGCTATAATTTGAATAAGGACTCAAAACTTTTTTCTGGGTGCATTCTTCAGGAATTCTGAAATCAACCAGTAGCAAAATACCAAAAAATAATTTTATTCAGTATATTTTTCTATGATGAACTATATTTGAAAAACCTATGGGACATTTTCCAGTGGAAAATTGCACGATTTCTTCTTGGTTTCATACTCCAGGCATTCTGATCTGGACTTATTAGCAGTTTTCAGAACCCCAGATCCCAGAGTTATCAGTTAAGATGTGAATTTTCTGCATTTTGGCATATCTTGGGTATCAGAGTCCAGGCTGAAATGGACAAATACAACAGAAGAAAGGTCTTATTTTTGTGTTGCTGAAATCATGAAAATAAATAACTGCAAGCCGAGAAGACTAAATAAAGGATGTTAGAGACACACAACTCATGCACCATAAAAATTCACCTGGAGGTAAACAACTATGTTCTTTTTGACTTTGCTCTACAGAAATCTAGAGCTTGGTGGGATAAGGTGAGGGTGCAATGTCTTCTGTATATGTATACTGTACTCTGATAGTATCACACTGACACCCCAAGAACAGTTCCCATTGCCTAATTAGCTACAGAGTATGGTTTGCAGCCCCCTAACAGAAGAACACATTTTGCTCTGAACTACTCTCTCTGCTGAAAGCTTCAATATGCATTTTTACCTGTCTTGTGATTGTTTTACTGTCTGGAGCCAGTCCATTTCCTCATCCATATAACAAGGAGATTATACAGTACAGTCAGTTTCATGCATCACTTCACTGCTGTGACTAAAATGTAACCGAGCCTTGGTGTGATTGGTGTGAAATCCTGCTGCTTTACTTATCAAGGACTGAAACCACTGGAGTCCTTCATTTAAAACTAGAACTAAAAGCTTCTGTAGGCTGGATGCAAATAACTTCAAAGTATTATTACAGAGTGTCTGCATCAGAGATTCAATCTGAAGGCAAGGCAGACATAAAAAGATGCACTGGAGCTGTAAGTTGGATACCTGGAGTACAGTGGTTGCCGTTTCCTCCCCCTTAAATCCTATGCTTAAATCCATCCTCATCTCACATAGCACTAAGGCATGTGCTTATGTTGAAACATTGATCTTAATCAGAGGTAAGCACTGAAATCAGGGACTGCAGATAATACCATGTCTTATTGAGAAGGGACAGCCTTAAACATTGGAGAGGTGAGAAAACCTGCGCTGCTGGTCACTGATTAATTTTAAAGTGACAGGCAATCTGTTTGGGTTTCTTTTCAGACTTTATCTCCTCCAAATACATACATGGCCCTAACGTCATCATACCTGAACATTTCACTCTTCTTCCATGCATCAGCCACAAACCAGAGCTGAGGTGTG